GTTGTTAGCCTAACCAGTGTGGTGGGTTGTTAGCCTAACCACGCAAGTGTGGTGGGTTATTAGCCTAACCAGTGTGGTGGGTTGTTAGCCTAACCAGGTGGTGGGTTGTTAGTTAACCAGTGTGGTGGGTTGTTAGCCTAACCAATGTGGTGGGTTGTTAGCCTAACCAGTGTGGTGGGTTGTTAGCCTAACCAGTGTGGTGGGTTGTTAGCCTAACCAGTGTGGTGGGTTGTTAGCCTAACCACGCCAGTGTGATGGGTTGTTAGCCTAACCAGTGTGGTGGGTTGTTAGCCTACCCAGTGTGGTGGGTTGTTAGCCTAACCAGTGTGGTGGGTTGTTAGCCTAACCAGTGTGGTGGGTTAGCCTAACCAGTGTGGTGGGTTGTTAGCCTAACCTGTGTGGTGGGTTGTTAGCCTAACCAGTGTGGTGGGTTAGCCTAACCAGTGTGGTGGGTTGTTAGCATAACCAGTGTGGTGGGTTGTTAGCCTAACCAGTGTGGTGGGATGTTAGCCTAACCAGTGTGGTGGGTTGTTAGCCTAACCAGTGTGGTGGGTTGTTAGCCTAACCAGTTGGTGGGTTGTTAGCCTAACCAATATGGTGGGTTGTTAGCCTAACCAGAGTGGTGGGTTGTTAGCCTAACCAGTGTGGTGGGTTAGCCTAACCAGTGTGGTGGGTTGTTAGCCTAACCAGTGTGGTGGGTTGTTAGCCTAACCAGTGTGGTGGGTTGTTAGCCTAACCAGTGTGGTGGGTTGTTAGCCTAACCACACCAGTGTAGTGGGTTGTTAGCCTAACCAGTTGGTGGGTTGTTAGCCTAACCACGCCAGTGTGGTGGGTTGTTAGCCTAACCAGTTGGTGGGTTGTTAGCCTAACCAGTGTGGTGGGTTGTTAGCCTAACCAGTGTAGTGGGTTGTTAGCCTAACCACTGTAACCAGTGTGGTGGGTTGTTAGCCTAACCAGTGTGGTGGGTTGTTAGCCTAACCAGTGTGGTGGGTTGTTAGCCTAACCAGTGTGGTGGGTTGTTAGCCTAACCAGTGTGGTGGGTTGTTAGCCTAACCAGTGTGGTGGGTTGTTAGCCTAACCAGTGTGGTGGGTTGTTAGCCTAACCAGTGTGGTGGGTTGTTAGCCTAACCAGTGTGGTGGGTTGTTAGCCTAACCAGTGTGGTGGGTTGTTAGCCTAACCAGTGTGGTGGGTTGTTAGCCTAACCAGTGTGGTGGGTTGTTAGCCTAACCAGTTGGTGGGTTGTTAGCCTAACCAGTTGGTGGGTTGTTAGCCTAACCAGTGTAGGGAGGGGAAAGTAAAATAGTCCTTTTAAAAAGTGACGTCGTTTATGGTTACCCGAACTTTTTTTTAGGCATCTGTTCGGGGGGAGGGGGGGGGGGAGGGGGCGGAGGGGGGGTGGGTGGATGCTCCAACCGTCCCCCTCCATGCGTAGCTAAACACCAGAAAGAAACATTGGCAATAAAAGGAAAGTAAAAAGAAAACATGATAATAAACTTGTTCTCTAGCCATCTAGAATTAGATATAGATCTTTTTATATTTTACTCCCCATTATAAATTCCACTTCGATAGGGGGGGGGGGGAGAATTTATTCGCCCCCCCCCCCTTCCCCACACCCCCTCTAAGAAACTGGAAGAAACTCAGGTCAGTAGACCGGCCCTGAGTCCACCCAGTTTTAATGGGTACCTAACTCGCGTTAAGGATAGCAAAGGCGGCTGGGCATAGTGCTCACAACACTATCTCTTCATAAAAAATTTTTCGGGGGGATGACACTGGTAAAAGTATGTTTTCTATATAAATTTTCATTTCGTTCGGGGGGGGGGGGGGGGGTAGACTTTCTTTGATGTCTGGAAGAAACACTGCCTAGCTTTGCAGTTGTAGATAATTGTACGAGATTTTAAAAAAATATTATACTTTTCAAATTAATTGTAGCATAATATTAATAACCATCTTACGGAAACATATTAAAACAGTCTTTCAATTAAAAACAAATTAAAATTTCAATTAAAAACAAATTTAACATTAATTAACCAATAATAAAGAACAACAATAAAGAAGTTTACCTGTGAGTTAACCTCTCCGAGACCTTGAAACCCTGACCTCTGACCGCACGTTTCCTTCTTTTTTGTTCGTCTGCACTGTGGCGCGTGAAAGAGCTACCCGAGGAAAGGCGATGCGCTATGACGTCACCTTGAGCTATTTTTAGACCGTTGCGTCACCGCGCCTCGCACTTTGTTTCAGACGCAATGTCCCGTGACTCATGCCGTTCCATCTCGCGACCCCCGGGTAGGGGGTGGGGGGTGAGTCAAGAAAGGGGTACTCACGTCAAGGCAGCGTGAACCGAACAAAAAACGCTTTCATCGTGTGTGCCTTGATTTACTACTGCTCACGATTTGTAAGGAATCAAGTACAGCTGTAGCAGTCATAACTGCTACACTGTTTATTCATAATCGTAGGGTGGAGGGGGGGGGGGGGCTGTGGGGTAGGGTTAGTAAGAGAGCTAGGCTTAAGAATAGACTTAAATCAGCTGTTGGAGTCATAACTGTTACTGTTGATCCATAATCGTGGATAGCTGTTAAAGCTGGAGCTAGGTTGGGGGGGGGGGGGAGGAGGGGAGGGAGGGAGGGGAGGTAGGGTTAGTAAGAGAGCTAGGCTGAAGAATAGACTTAAATCAGCTGTTGGAGTCATTCATAAATGATGACAGATTACGGGGGAATATCGTAGTATGGATTCAGGTTATGTCCCAAGTCTTTTTCCAAGCCGATGATTTATACGTTTTGGCTGTGTGTGTTTGTGTGTGTGTGTGTGTATGCAGAGGCGTAGCGACCCTTCCCGGCGCCCGGGGACAAACTGTCGATTTGCACCCCCCCTCAAGATTTCGATTTGCACCCCCCAAACTTTCGATTTCCACCCCCCCTCAAGATTTCGATTTGCACACACCCCCCCCCCTAAAATTTTCTATTTGCACCCCGCTCAAGCTTTCAATTTATTTTTCCAACCCATTTTGGCGCACCCTAAGGTCGGCGCCCGGGGACATATGTCCCCCCCCCTCGCTACGCCTCTGTGTGTTTGTGAGAATAAATGTGGATGTAAGAATACGAAATACGAAGCATCATTTGTCCAAAAGACTCGAGTTCGGATCCCGGGGCTCGAGTCCCTAGGGCGTCACTGAGTCCACCCAGCTCTTATGAGTACCCAACTCACGTTAGGGAAAGTTAAGACGACTGCGTTTGTGCTGTCCGTACATATGCCGAGGTCACTGAAACAGGTAAACTCTACTTCACCTGGACCTTAAGGTTCGTAAGGGTACTTTACTCACCATTATTTGTAGACGAACCATATGGCTTAAGGGCTATAAGGTTTGGGTTAGACATTACGTTACTGCCTGTACCTGGTGTTGACTGAAGTTTATGTATGGCCATCAATATATGACGTCACACCCCAGGGGGACTTGGGCGACGAGATGGAATTATTTTAAGCCTAAGAGAGTGTGACCTTAACATCAGCTACATGCGTTTCTATAGGTCTGTGGGTGGTAGGGAGGGTAGAGCACTGACAGTTTAGCGAGCTGGCTGTTAATGACAGTGTATGGCGGAAGTAGAGCTTCTTTCATACATATTTATCCGGGGGGGGGGGGGGCGCTTGAAACTTACAGCAGTATATATTTTCTATATAAATTATGCTTTTTTTTTTCTATTTCGTCCATTGAAGGTGCACTGCCCCAACCCCCACACATCAAGAGATATGTCAGAAAGAAACACTGAAAGGTTGTGGGTGGGAAATGGACTTTAATTAGCTTTTTAATTAGCGTTTTAATTAGCTCCGCTAAATTAACCAAAAGCTAATGGGGATTAAAATGTTTTATCACAGCCGTACCGGGTAACCTCATGTAGAGGGGTGACATCTTTTAGAGGGTGACACCATTTATAGGATGACACCATTTAGGGGATGTCACCATTTAGAGGGTGACACTATTTAGAGGATGACACCATTTAAAGGATGAAACAATTTACAGGGTGACACTATTTAGATGATACATTCATTTAATTTAACAAAAATAGTAGGGAGGAGAGGGGTGACACCGAAACGAAAATGCGATATTATTGGAGCAGGGGTGACTCCCATAGTTACCACACCTTGTGACACTACGGCCTACTGACGCCACTGCTGGAAAGCAAAAAAAAAAATAATGTTATGTCCACCCTTTCTTAGACACCATTCACCTCGATAAACGTCATGAACTTAAGTCCGGGACCCCCCCCCCCCCCCCCCCCCGCCCCTTTATCGCATTAACGTCATTTATTCCCCCCTCCCAATTAGCCCATCCTTCTTCTTAAGCGGTGTTTATATGTATTAATGATGTATATTAGTTTGTAATATATTTTGTTATAAAACTTGACATGTATTGCCGAATAAAAAACGAAAAAGTTTGGATCATTTTCTTTAAAGAAAGACCTCTAAAACGAGTAACCGTCTGATGTCATTCAAGTCAATCTATTTTTAAACCCACGTGCTAGCGGCCATAGACCGCTTTCACCGCGAGGCAGGGCAAGCCAGGCTTAGCTGGCGCGAAACGAACTAAGGGAGGTAACCGTGAATTTCCTATCGGCGGGTTTGTCTAAAAACCGGGATAACTCATAAAAAGGGGAACGGCAAGACGCAGTGGTAGCATTGGACTTTGGGATGCTCACACTTGTTTACCGGCATCTAGCACTAATTAAACTATGTCAAGTGCGCCCTTAGATAAATAATAAGAAAATAAAAACTATATAAAGGCGAGTGAGTTCTATGTGTAAGATTGCGCTTCGTATCAGCAAGGGTTAAATTATCTTATAGGACTACATTGTGTTTAGGTTAACATAGAACCATGCATATATTTGCATATAACTAAGTATACATATGCAAATAATAGACATTTCTAAAAAAGTAAAACGTGCACTTATTTAATTTGATAAATATTTTTTTTTAAAAATAAACACGTTTGAGAAAAAAAATTGTTTTTTTTTTTTCAAGTAGAGGAACCAAAATTGGAAAAAAATATTAAATCGTTGTTTCTGCTCTGTCGAGTTTGGTGTTAATGATGAACCACGCTAAAAACATGAGGATTTGTGCATTAATTTTAGTGGTAAGTCAATTTATAATTAACGAATGTAAATAAATGTGTTTTAATACGATTTTAATCACGGTGGATTCAGCATTTATTTCTAAATTCAGCCGCGGATAAAAAAAATACTTCGGGAACTAAATCAACACCATGGAAAATAAATGTTATAGTTTATTTATAGTTTATAAAATATAATATAAGATCAGGTATGTGAACATTCTGGTGTGGTATATTACAGCCAAAGTTATGCCGCTAGTAAATATTAGAGTGACCGTTCCTGAATCGAGGCTCTTCTGCCTCAAGCTTTAAACCTGTGTCGGATATGCAGAGGCGCTGCCGGGAACTTTGGGGGAGGGTGAGGCGGGGGGGGGGGGGGGGGTCACTAAAAGTAAATATAATACTAGAGAATAGATCATGTGATTGAAATGCATAAATAAATATTATTTTCATAGATGGTTGAGGAGTTTTAAGTACTTGGGGATTGTTCACATTAAATAACACAAAGAGGAAGGTGTAATGTATTATTTTGTTATAGACCTATGTGGGTTGCGGACGTTTCTCTAGAGCAATAATAAATAACACTGCGGTTTATTTACTTTCAATTTTTTTAAATATTTCTGCAATGTAGAATGTTGGATGAGAATCTGACATGGATGGGTTAAAACTTATTTATTTAAAACATTATAAGGCTTTGATTTTGCTTCTAATAAAGATGTAACTGGTAAATTATTTCTCTGCATGTTTTATTTGGTTCCCTGAAAAATGCGCAACAAAAAATTGCTCAAACAGAAATACCAACTAATTATACTAATACACTTTAATGTTATCATATTTCGTTGAAAAGGGTTTTATTATGCTAAAATGTACATGTGTTCATTCTTTGTTAATGTCTATAAATACTCGATTTAAGAAAACAAAAATGCCTTTGCGCATTTTTATGTGCGCCGTTTTCCGTTGCGCAGTTTTCCATGGAGCATTTTTCCGGTCACCATTTTATATTTACACACAGTAACAGATACAGGATGGGTCATTTCCGGTACGATATCACAAGGGGGTCACCCAATGTACTAAAGCTTTGGTCAATTGGCATCACCCCCATTACAGATGGTGTTACCCTGTGTGTAATGATGAGTATAACTGTGAAAAGTGAAACATATATGAAAAAAATACAGCCTTTCTCATTAATTAAAATTAGACATTTTTGTTTCGGTGTAATCTCGTCGAGTGGTTTATATCTCACCCCGTTTAAAAAAACAAAACAACATTTGTACTACCCGATTGCAGAGTTTTGTCCAGGCATCTCTTCGGGTGGGGGGGGGGGGTGCTCAGTCAAGAAAGTCTATAGCCACCTCGAACGAAAAGGAATTTCCATAGAAAATATATACTTTTAACGGTGACCGCCTCGATTACGTGTGTATGCTTATAAAGATGTTACCAGAAGCGTCACAAGTTGTTTGTATGGGGGGGGGGGGTTTACGGAGCGCATCGGGTGTCACCCGACTTTGTGACGCCACTGATTGTTACTCATAAGGAATGATGATCTATGGTCATTTTTTAATGTTTCATCTCCTCTTAAACCAAATGTGTTATTTTTTAAATTAAATAAACTGACCCATTTAAAAAAAAAAACGCATTCAGACAACGTGTCGCTAACTCCAGTAAAGAAACACGCGAACTCTACTTCATCTACCTTGTAGATCACCTTGTAGTGAAAATGGCCCCAGACGTAAACCTAACACTCCACACACACCTGTGTTACATTGAGGTCGTCTGCTTTTAGGCCGCTTAACAAAATGTTTTCGCCACACCAGCAGAAACGAAAGACGAAAAAAAAAAAAAAAAAAAATATTGGGTTAACAATTGGGATTATCTTTATACTTCCAGGCGTCGTTTTGTTTAACTGAGATAAGCTGGCACCAGGTGGTTTAATCTGCTAGGGGTGGGGTGGGAGTAGGTAAAGAGGGGGGGGGGGGTGGTAGGGGTAAGGTAGGATTTGACTGTGGTGTGTGGCTCAGACAGAATGTGAGGGGTTGGGGTGTGGGGTTCAGGAAGAATGTGTGATGTTCAGGAAGAATGTGGGATGGAGGGGGGTTTGTGGTGTGGGGTTCAGGCAAAATTTGTGGGGCTCAGGAAGAATGTGTGGGGTCTGGGGTGTGGGGTTCAGGAAGAATGTGTGTGGTTGGGGTGTGGGGTTCAGGAAGAATGTGTGGGCTTGGGGTGTGGGGTTCAGGAAGAATGTGTGGGATTGGGGTGTGGGGTTCAGGAAGAATGTGTGTGGTCTGGTGTGGGGTTCAGGAAGAATGTGTGGGTTAGGGGAGTGGGGTTCAGGAAGAATGTGTGTGGTTGGGGTGTGGGGTTCAGGAAGAATGTGTGGGTTAGGGGAGTGGGGTTCAGGAAGAATGTGTGGGATTGGGGTGTGGGGTTCAGGAAGAATGTGTGTGGTCTGGTGTGGGGTTCAGGAAGAATGTGTGGGTTAGGGGTGTGGGGTTCAGGAAGAATGTGTGGGGCTGGGGTGTGGGGATCAGGAATACTGTGTGGGGCTGGGGTGTGGGGTTCAGGGAGAATGTGCGGGTATGGGGTGTGTAGGGGGGGCTCTGTTGGAGGGTGGCTATGGTGCTGATGGGGGCCCAAGTGGGTTTGACAGAGGGTGGGGGGGGGGGTTGGGTTCAAGTGGGACTTATGGAAGGAAGAACCTCGGGTGAAAGTCGAGTGTGTGAGGCGGGGGGTGGGGGGGGGGGTAGGCTTGTAGGAAGTCGTATTACCACTGCAGGAGGGGGTGGATGTTGGCAGGAAGTGGACTGGAAAGGTGCTAAGATGGAGTGGGGGGGGTGAAGGTAGGACGTGGGACAGATATGTCAGATAAAAAAAGCCAACATGGATGTGATTGTGTTGATGGGTTACCTGTATGAGCACAGGATGTAGCGCTAAAAATAACTTCCTCATACGCAACAATCATTAGATAGAACTCACGTGCTTAGATCAAGGTGTACTCACGCTGAAAGCAGGGGAAGGGATTAGCAGAATGGAGCTTCTCTCCTGTTCTGTGATAGCTTTTGTGGTAGGTAAGGTGTCCATTTTGTGGTAGGTAAGGTGTCCATTTTGTGGTAGGTAAGGTGTCCATTTTGTGGTAGGTAAGGTGTCCATTTTGTGGTAGGTAAGGTGTCCATTTTGTGGTAGGTAAGGTGTCCATTTTGTGGTAGGTAAGGTGTCCATTTTGTGGTAGGTCATTTTGTGGTAGGTAAGGTGTCCATTTTGTGGTAGGTAAGGTGTCCAATTTGTGGTAGGTAAGGTGTCCAATTTGTAGTAGGTCATTTTGTGGTAGGTAAGGTGTCCATTTTGTGGTAGGTCATTTTGTGGTAGGTAAGGTGTCCATTTTGTGGCAGGTTAGATGTCTATTTTGTGGTAGGTAAGGTGTCCATTTTGTGGTAGGTAAGGTGTCCATTTTGTGGTAGGTCATTTTGTGGTAGGTAAGGTGTCCATTTTGTGGTAGGTAAGGTGTCCATTTTGTGGTAGGTAAGGTGTCCATTTTGTGGTAGGTAAGGTGTCCATTTTGTGGTAGGTAAGGTGTCCATTTTGTGGTAGGTAAGGTGTCAATTTTGTGGTAGGTAAAATGTCCATTTTGTAGTAGGTAAGGTGTCCATTTTGTGGTAGGTAAGATGTCCATTTTGTGGTAGGTAAGGTGTCCATTTTGTGGTAGGTAAGGTGTCCAATTTGTGGTAGGTAAGGTGTCCATTTTGTGGTAGGTAAGGTGTCCATTTTGTGGTAGGTAAGGTGTCCATTTTGTGGTAGGTAAGGTGTCCATTTTGTGGTAGGTAAGGTGTCCATTTTGTGGTAGGTAAGGTGTCTATTTTGTGGTAGGTAAGGTGTCAATTTTGTGGTAGGTAAAATGTCCATTTTGTAGTAGGTAAGGTGTCCATTTTGTGGTAGGTAAGATGTCCATTTTGTGGTAGGTAAGGTGTCCATTTTGTGGTAGGTAAGGTGTCCATTTTGTGGTAGGTAAGGTGTCCATTTTGTGGTAGGTAAGGTGTCCATTTTGTGGTAGGTAAGGTGTCTATTTTGTGGTAGGTAAGGTGTCCATTTTGTGGTAGGTAAGGTGTCCATTTTGTGGTAGGTAAGGTGTCCATTTTGTGGTAGGTAAGGTGTCTATTTTGTGGTAGGTAAGGTGTCCATTTTGTGGTAGGTAAGGTGTCCATTTTGTGGTAGGTAAGGTGTCCATTTTGTGCAAGATGTCCATTATGTGCTAGGCAGGATGTCCATTTTATGAAAGCCACGATGTCACGCGTATTAAACATTTTGATTTAGAACGATGTCCAGTTAATTATCGATTTACGTTAAACTATGTCTGTTTTTAGATAGCTTAACAACATTTTTTGTATATTTATAGACAATTTTCAAACGTATTTCTATATGACCAAAAGCAACAAATGTCTTTGTTACAAAGTCATAGCTGTTGGTAGTTAAACATCGTGAGTTCTCTCAAGATTAGGATATTTTGCTCGCTATTAATCTTTTACTCTATATAAAACTCTGATTACATTTGTTTTTATATTTACGATATCCAAAAGTAAGTTAAGTAGACTTCTAAACACCAGGAAAAAAAAACTAATTTAAAATTGATTTGTTACTTTTTCTTCTAAGATTTCGCCGTGTACATATATCGGAGAACACCATCCTTGAACAACAGAGCATCAGTCGTATAATTTATATGATTACATTTACATATTTTATATTATAACCTAATTGCTGCGTTTGGGCTAGCTCATGTTTACTATATTCCTATTACTGTTGTCTGTTTGTTTCTACATTTTAATGATACACTTATATTTATATAGTTTTAATTGATTGTGTAACTTTTTACTGTTCTCAGCTTGCGTTGATCGGGAAATCCCATTCAAAGGCACCGCCTCCTAACTTTAAAAATCCCTATGAGAAACAGGAGAATAAATCGATGGACCAACTAATTACCGGAATGTTGGGTGGAATTGACAGTATGTAGGCCTATACATAAATCAATGTATATTACGAACTCATGTGTAGCTTTAGATAATTTATAAAAATAATTTAAAATATTTTAAAATTGATTTTATCAATAATACTTTTATCTTTTAAAAAATTGATTTCATCAAAAATACTTTAGTGTTTTTAAAAAAAAATGTATTTCATCAATAATACTTTTATCTTTAAAAAAATTGATTTCATCAATAATACTTTTATCTTTTAAAAAAAAAATGATTTCATCAATAATACTTATACCTTTTAAAAAATTGATGTCATCAATAATAATTTTATCTTTTAAAAAAATTGATGTTTATCGATAATATTTTTATCTTTTTTAAAAAAAGATGTTTTCATCAATAATACTTTTATCTTTTAAAAAAAAATGTATTTCATCAATAATAAACTTTTTTTTTTAAATTGATTTCATCAATAATACTTGTATCTTTAAAAAAAATTGATTTCATCAATAATACTTGTATCTATTTTAAAACCACCCAGTCGCCAACAACATGATCCTAGGAGACGCCGGGAAAATTCTGGCAGAGCTAGACATGTACCTCTCAGAGGGCCAGTTCCTCAGCATGTACCAACCGCCCAAAGCTGCGTATGTCCACTCATCTTTACGTCCACTCATGTTTACATCTTTGTCTTTTATTTACGTGACTGTTAAGTGAAACATGTACCAACCACCCAAAGCTGCGTACGTCCACTCATCTTCACATCTTTGTCTTTTATTTACGTGACTGTTTAGTGAGACATGTACCAACCACCCAAAGCTGCGTACGTCCACTCAACTTCACATATTTGTCTTTTATTTACGTGACTGTTAAGTGAAACATGTTTATAAACAACTGCATGCAGTTTTTGAAGGCTTCTCATCCCCTATAACAATCGCCACACGTCGTCACAAAAGCCGATCCTCCCATGTCTAAACATGATGTGACATTTGACCCCAGTCTAAACATGATGTGACATTTGACCCCAGTCTAAACATGATGTGACATTTGACCCCAGTCTAAACATGATGTGACATTTGACCCCAGTCTAAACATGATGTGACATTTGACCCCAGTCTAAACATGATGTGACATTTGACCCCAGTCTAAACATGATGTGACATTTGACCCCAGTCTAAACATGATGTGACATTTGACCTCAGTCTAAACATGATGTGACATTTGACCCCAGTCTAAACATGATGTGACATTTGACCCCAGTCTAAACATGATGTGACATTTGACCCGAGTCTAAACATGATGTGACATTTGACCCCAGTCTAAACATGATGTGACATTTGACCCGAGTCTAAACATGATGTGACATTTGACCCATGTCACGATATGACATTTGACCCATGTCAATATGTGACATTTGACCCATATCGCGACGTGACATTTTACCCATGAGAGGATGTGACATTTGACCCATGTGGCGATGTGACATTTGACCCATATCACGAGGTGACATTTGACTCATATCACGACGTGACATTGACCCATGTGACGATGTGACATTTGACCCATATCACCATATGACATCTACCCCCACAGGGAGATGGTGAACATGGGCATGATGCCCGCCCCCGTGGGTGTCCAGATGGACGAGAACTATTTCTTCTCGGACGAGTACGGCATCAGGAGCAAGCGGAAGGCGATCAGAGAGGAGACACTCAGGTGGACCAACGCGGAGATACCGTACTTGTTCGCCCAGGGCCATTTTAGTAAGTTACGGTAGTGACTGTTTTAGTAAGTTACGGCGATCAGAGAGGAGACACTCAGGTGGACCAACGCGGAGATACCGTACTTGTTCGCCCAGGGCCATTTTAGTAAGTTACGGTAGTGACTGTTTTAGTAAGTTACGGCGATCAGAGAGGAGACACTCAGGTGGACCAACGCGGAGATACCGTACTTGTTCGCCCAGGGCCATTTTAGTAAGTTACGGTAGTGACTGTTTTAGTAAGTTACGGCGATCAGAGAGGAGACACTCAGGTGGACCAACGCGGAGATACCGTACTTGTTCGCTCAGGGCCATTTTAGTAAGTTACGGTAGTGACGTGTTTTAGTAAGTTACGGCGATCAGAGAGGAGACACTCAGGTGGACCAACGCGGAGATACCGTATCTGTTCGCGCAGGGCCATTTTAGTAAGTTACGGTAAAGATATAACTGTAGTAGGTTACGGTAATCACATTTTAGTAAGTTACGGTAGTGACGTGTTTTAGTAAGTTACGGTATTCACATTTTAGAAAGTTACGTTAATGAAGTAACTGTAGTAGGTTACGGTAATCACGTTTTTAGTAAGTTACGGTAGCGACATGTTTTAATAAGTTACGGTTACGATGTATTTTTGTAAGTTACGTTAATGAAATATCTGAGTAAGTTACAGTCATGATGTCCTGGGTAATTTAGTTTTCAAATATTTAATAAGTTACGGAAAATGAAAAAAAATTAATAAGTTACATAATTCATAAATTTTTGTAAATTACATTATTCAAGTATTTTATTAAATTACGGTAATGATATATTTTGGAATGTCACAGAGTACTCGAATATTTCAGTCTGTTACGATATTGACAAATCTAAGTTACGGTTATGATATATTTTAGTTAACTAAGGTATTGACATATTTTAACAAGTTACGGTTTTGACATATTTTAGTACGTTACGGTAATGACATATTTTATTATGAAAATTGCAGTACTCGAATAAATTAAGTAAGTTACGATATTTTAGTAGGGCACAGGATTTGAATATTTTGGCAAGTTACGGAACTTAAATATTTTGGTAACCTACGTCACCTTGCTGTGTGCCGGATATTTTTACCCGAACAAAACTACTCAACGACCACTTGTCCGAAAATGTCCGAAAAACAAATTTAAAAAAAACAACAAACAACTGAATGCTAAAGAGACAAACTTACAACTTTTTCTTGCTCGATCCCCATCGTACTCTACACGGTGTTGGCCATGGTAGGCCTATGACAAAAGGTTGGCATACAAAACGACCACTTGGTCAAAGACCGATACCGACAAAGGCCGACAAGGGGAAAAGGCCGTCATGGAAAAAAGGCTAACAGACAATAGGTTGTGTACGAAAACGCCGACGAGAACAAAATTCGACACAGACAAAAGTCCGACTGACCAATGGCCGACAAACCAAAGGCCGACAAGGGGAAAAGACGCCACGGACAAAAACCCGACTGAACAATGACAGACGACCAAAACGCCGTAATGGATCCTTATTTAACGATCAAGACATCCCATCATTCTTTAGTGTTCCGTTAACTGACAATTATTTCGGAGCCTTCAGCTAAGTGTATGCAGCGATCGTGTGTTGATCGGTTGATGTAATTGTTCCAGCCAAGCCAGTATCTCTATGTACATGTATGTCTATGTACATGTATGTACGTGCAGAGGCGTCGCTAGGCGAGGGCGGGGGGGGGGGGGGGCGGATTGCACCGGGTGACACCATTTCGGGAGTTGACACCAAGACAAAAAACTGCAAGATTTATGGCATGAATGAGGGTTTTTTTGCCAGTTTAAAGAATGGTAAATAAGAATAATTAAAAAAAAAAAGGGGGGGGGGGTGACACCAACTGCAAAATTTTCGTATAAAATAAAGGGGGGGGGGGTGACACGATGAGGCGCAGCACCGGGTGACACCCGACCTATCGACGTCACTGTGTACATGTATCTCAATGTACTTGTATGTCTATGTACATGTATCTATGTACAGCCTTGGTGTCAACCCCCTAAATGGTGTCGCCCGGTGCGTTCCGCACCCCCGCCCCCCCTCGCTACGCCTCCGCATGTATGTCTATGTATATGTATGTCTATGTACATATATGTCTATGTACATGTATGTCTATGTCACAGCCAAGGGAGAAGAGTACATGATGAGGCGAGCTATGACGGAGTGGGAACGTTACACCTGTATGAAATTTAGACCGGCCACAACCTCTGACAAGAACAGCGTCAGGTTCCAAGGCGGAGTAGGGTAGGTGGAGTAGAGTAGGTTTTGTATTTCGTTATGTCGAGTAGGTTTTATAGGTCGCTATGTCGAGTAGATTTTATATGTCGCTATGTTGATTAGGTTTTATATGTAGCTAGGTATATCGCTATTTAGTATTTTTTTTACGTCGCTATGTCGAGTAGGCTTTATGTTGTGTATGATTTGTGTATCGATCTACAAATGTTTAAATTGATTTGTGTATCGATCTACAGGTGTAACTCAATGCTGGGGATGTACGGCGGTGTGCAGATTTTGAACCTTCAGTCACCAGGATGTAGATTTGTAAGTTATATATATATATATATATATATATATATATATATATATATATATATATATATATATATATATATATATATATATATATTATATATATATATATATATATATATATATATATATATATATATATATATATATATATATGTGTATGTGTGTGTGTGCGCGTGTGTATGTGGTTTTAACAACATTAGCCTCAGATCAAGTACCATATGTATTAGTACAGTGGGGTCAAACTTGGGAGGTCGGTGGGAGGGGGGTGCTGTCCGCAACGGGTGATACCATTTAAGGGTGACACCATGACGAATATTCTTAAAATTTACTGTCAAGGTTTTATCTAGTTACAATAACAATAAAAAAAGGGGGGGGGGGGGGTTGGGAGGGAGGAGGGGTGACACCAAAACAAAAAATTCTAAATTATTGTATGGAGTGGTGAGTGACACCGTCAGTTACCGGGGTCCACTCAACCTGGTGACGCCACTGTGTTAATATAAAAGGTTTTTACACTTGTTTCATGTATTTAGACATAGAAAAAAAAAACTTGCATGAGACGTAATATTAAAACATTATTGTAATGTTAAAGTGTGCTCTTTAGACCAGGATGTGTCAGCACAAGGACACTCAGACGGATGAAGAAATTTTTTTTATACTATTTTTTTTTTGAGTCATAGAGAAGGATAGTTTGTGTCTTGTGGAAATGGCTAGCTGTGGTCTTTAAGTTTAAGTGGGTGCTTTATGGCCGGATATGTTAACACGGGCTCACTTAGAAAGATGGGACATTTTTTGATACATTTTTTATACTAAAAAGGGCTGTAGGTCTACTTGATATAATTGTTGGATATTTGACCCTAGAAAGGGGCTGTAGGTCTACTTGATATAATGGTTGGAACTTTGATCCTAGAAAGGGACTGAAGGTCTACTTGATATAATGGTTGGAACTTTGATCCTAGAAAGGGACTGTAGGTCTACTTGATATAATGGTTGGAACTTTGATCCTAGAAAGGGGCTGTAGGTCTACTTGATATAATGGTTGGAACTTTGATCCTAGAAAAGGACTGTAGGTCTACTTGATATAATGGTTGGAACTTCGATCCTAGAAAGGGGCTGTAGGTCTACTTGATATAATGGTTGGAACTTTGATCCTAGAAAGGGACTGTAAAATTAAAGTTCCCTTTTCCATTCAGACGGTTCATGGGGCAAATGAAGTAGAGTTCACTTGTTTCTGTCACCATGGCATACGAAGGTATAGTGTCACCAGCCATAAGCCCAGCCACCTTTACTTTACATAATGTAAGACAGGTACCCATCAGAGCTGAGTGGACTCAGAGAGGACTGTACCTGATAACATGGGTTAGCCTTTGATCGCAGAAAGGGTTGTAACTCATATATTATTTAAATTTTGACCCCAGAAAGTGCTGCACCGGATCTAATTGCTTAACCTTTGACCCCCAGAAAGGGCTGTACCTACACGAGATCGGCCACGCCATCGGTCTAGTCCACGAGCACCAGCTGCCCGACAGAGACAACTACATCAGCATCCTCTACCACAACGTCGAGCCGCACATGCGCATCTGGTTCAACAAGTACTCAACCGCCGAGGTCAACCAGATGCGCGTGCCTTATGAGTACTCGTCCGTCATGCACTACGGTGTCACGGTGAGTCACCAATTGGGTTAGCCGTACCGCGTGGAGGAAAAAGGGGGTGAAAGAAGGGGTGGGGTTTGGTTGACCCCTGGGGGGACATACGACACCACGACACGTGGATGGAGTGTGTCGGTATTTTTCGGGGAGCACAAAGAAACGGCACGCGCCGGTGGTAGTTTAAAAAAATGGATTGGATGAAAGACGGACTACAATAAAGTGGAAACAATCATCATCGTGAAAAAAAGGTGGGAAGAGTTGAAGAATGAACTTAATTAGGACAGGATGGAGGGGAGGGGTGGTGGGGTATAAAGGAAGGAGTCGTGAAGTGGAACTGGAGAGGGTCGGGTGTTAAGCTTTGTAGAAAACATTTTCTAAAAATAGACGTCCGGTTGTTGTTTTTAAGTAGGGCCTATTCTAATAAGGTCAGGCTTCTATTATTGAGGTCTTTTTTTATATTAATGACCAAAAAAAACAACAACAAATTTCTTTATTAGAATTAAGTTTGCTGTGTTAAAATAAGAAAAAAAATATATTGTACAGGAGTTTTATTAAATAAATTAATCAAATATTAAACAAAAGATGCATGACATCAAATAATGAGCACATCACTAACTAATATAATTTGATAGCTAATGTTTTTTTTTGTACGCGATACCAATTTTAAGGTTAATGAAATCTAGTTATTGGTCATTACATTGGTCATTACATTGGTCATTACATTGGTCATTACATTGGTCATTACATTGGTCATTACATTGGTCATTACATTGGTCATTACATTTGTATTACATTGATCATTGCATTGGTCATTAGATTGGTCATGAGATTTGTCATTACATTTATATTACATTGTTTCATTCATCACAATTACTCACACTTTCATAATGCACGTGTCAAGTCACTGAAATGTACAAAAGGTTATTTTAACTTAAAAAACCAACTGTAAGTACGTCCGGTAACTCCTTGTATGTCCTGTTCAATTAACAACAGAGAGTTATCCTCCTTTGTTCGGACACCGCATTAAACATGACACAACAAAGAAACAAAGAAATTTCCTGTAGCCCTATCTAGTTATATCATGTTATATTCAGTTATGACATCCACGTAGACTTCCCTCACTTATATAATAGTTCTCACAAAACGAGGCTATATTTAGCAACTTTCATTGAGTAATTTTGTTGCAATGTACATAGTTTGTGTGCAGGATGTATAGACATAGTCACTCTCCCATAAAACATTAGACACATATACTCCCCCTTCCCCTTAGTTATTTAGATTTTCTATCACAACTTCTTCTTGTTTGTTATCTGTGTTTATTCTAATGTTTTTCATTTGCTTTTACTGAAGTCCAACCTGACTAGAAAATGAGTCTAGTTAAGACGTTTTGTTTTGCATTTCCCTTGCCCTAAGACAACACATTAATACTCTTCCTTCCATAAGACAGACATTGTCATTGACTAACATTCCCCAAAGACACATGTATTGAAAGACGTTTCCGTCCCCCATTACATTGCGACATTTCTGTCTCCATTACATACAGAGATTTCTGTCCCCCATTACATACAGGCATTTCTGTCCCCCATTACATAAAGACCTGTCTGTCCCCCATTACATAAAGACATTTCTGTCCCCCATTACATAAAGACATGTCTGTCCCCATTACATAAAGGCATGTCTGTCCCCCATTACATAAAGACATGTGTATTCCCCCATTACATAAAGACATGTGTATTCCCCCATTACATAAAGACATGTCTGTCCCCATTACATAAAGACATGTCTGTCCCCATTACATAAAGACATGTCTATCCCCCATTACATAAAGACATGTCTGTCCCCCATTACATACACACATTTCTGTCCCCCATTACATAAATATATGTGTATTCCCCTGTCAGGCATTCTCCATAGGCGATGAGAGACAGACAATTCAGGCCCACGACAGGTCGAAAGAGGAATCCATTGGCAAAGTTTATCTCAAGGAGCTGGCGTACACAGATGTGTACATAGTCAACCTCATGTACAACTGTTCTGGTAAGCTAGACACAAATGTTCTGATATGTTCTGACACACATGTTCTGGTAATTTCCTTCCACTATCGTAGTTATAACCAAAGAATTTACCGAAACTAGATCTTCATACTTGTTTACATTAAAACATCATTACAAACAATATAATCCATATCATTATACGGCACCCCGGGCAGATGAAGCTCATTAGCAGAAGACAGCAAGCCATCCAGGAGAAACAACTCCAAAATCAAACAACTGCTGCCTTGTAGTTTGTTCTTGGTGTGACAAAGGCTTTGGGAAGCAAATCTAGAAAGAAAAGCAGGCTGAAATGGAGTTAACGGCCTCAATGGCGCATAACATGTAACCTATGTTCCCTATAAGATGTGCGGTTGCGCGGCCGCGCAGTAGTTTTGAACCTGCAGCGAAGTCATTTTGTAAAATACATATCCTTGTATAAGACTTTAAGAACACTGCGCTCACAAAATAACACGTTGGACACTAGCTTTCTTCTTAGATGGAACATTAATTTGTGTTGAAGTAAACCCCCTTACAATTAAAAACGAAGAAGAATGGGTGAATTATTGGGCAGGAAACAAACAAATTTTAAAAAAATCGAATAAAAATATTTAAATAGTTCAAACAACGATATTTGAATAAATATCTAAGCTACACATTATTTTGTACCGTGTATGAGAAGTGTTCACCAATATTATGTTGACCATATTTACGATGCACATGTTGTTTGTACCGTGTATGAGTAGTGTTCACCAATGTTGTGTTCACTAGGTCACTGCCCAGACCAAAACAAATGCGGGTCAGACGGCCATCTTGACCAGAACTGTAACTGTATCTGTCGGGACGGGAGTTCGGATTGTGACCGGACCAAACAGGTCAAAAATGACGGTAAGTTCAAAGTTCAAAGTTGTCATCCCCACATTCAAGTATTTTTATTTATTTTTAACGCATACAAATTTACATATTTTACAGTAATTTGATTATTGTGGAAGTAATGTGACTTTTGCAAGGTTCAAATCCTTACGAAGACAGGGATTTTGTATGGCTCGAAGGAGAGTGGCGACCGGGGGTGAGGGGGAATGGGGGGGGGGGGGGGGGGGTGAAGGAAATAGAGGTGTATTTGTGAAGAAAAAACAGAGGGTGGTTTGTGGAAAGTTTGATGACGATCGTTGTTTTGGTATCGATTTAGGATTAGGGCTATGATTGGCTATATTGAAGTCATAAGGCACACGTTGGAATCAATAAGAAAAAGTAGTTTCATTATATTTATAAATATATAGGTACTATTTAAATGTGCGTGTGAATAATCATTCCATATATTTAAAAAATTAATAAAAACAGTGGTTGAGGGACAGCAGCTATGTGTGGGGTTTACCAATACCTTATAGGGCCATTTAGGGGGGGGGGGTGGTCATCCATTTATGACGTCCACAAATATTTCAGATTTTAGCCCCCACCCCCCTTCCACTTTCGATGAATTCTCCCCCCCCCCACCCCGATGTGGACTTCCACAAAAATGTAATAGAACTCTCAAAACTTACTACCAACTTACAATTTTTTAAAAACACTGGATTGTCGTTTTAGCTTCAATTTTACATGCTGAATACGAGTTTTAATTTTTGTTTAAAAATGTAATAACTTCCATCTTAAATTCAACATGTGGACGTCCACATGGAACCGACCCTCCCCCCCCCCCCCCCAACCCACTCCGTGAGGACTTCATAATTGATGATCCCTTATTTTAATGTCTTTTTAAAAAAAAGATAATAGTTTTTTTTTAAAATGTATTTTTTCTTGCTACGCTTCCAACTTGCTTTAGGGCATATTTGTGTGGTGTTTGTGTGGAATGTTAGTGTGGGGTGTTTGTATGGGATGTTTGTGTGGGGTGTTTGTGTGGGATGTTTGTATGGGATGTTTGTGTGGGGTGTTTGTGTGAGGTACAAAAATTCGATCTAGCCCCATATAATTATAAAATGTCTCCCACTTGTGTTCCATCGAGATCTCGTCTTTTCTCTCAATGTCTTCCACTTTTATCACAACGAGATCTCGTATTTTTCCTCTCTGTCTTCCATATTGTGTTCCAACGAGATCTCGTCTTTTCTCTCAATGTCTTCCATATTATGTCCCAACAAGATCTCGTCTTTTCTCTCAGCCACCTGCGTGAACACTTACGACAGCTGGGCCTGCTACATCTGGGCCAATCAGGGCGAGTGTGAGCGGAACCCACTCTACATGAGCACCTACTGCACAAAGGCGTGTGGGAAATGTGGGCCAGAGGCGCAGGCTCAAGGTGGGTAGTTATTTATGGCTCTGCGCGTGCGCGCGTGTGTGTGTGTGTGGGGGGGGGGGTCTCCTTTGTTTTGGGTGGGGTAGGGAAGGGTAGTTAATAACACGGAGAGTGCAATATGTTGTGTACCTGATACAGTCAGTGGCGGAACTAGAAAAAATGGGCCACCCCGCAAAAAATTTTTTTGGGCCCCCCATATATATATATATATATATATATATATATATATATATATATATATATATATATATATATATATATATATATATATATATATATATATATATATATATATATATATATATATATATATATATATATATATATAAACACAATACGAACATAAGATACTCATTTCTGGCCTGATCGGGTTTTGAAAAAAAAAATTCAATTAAATCTAATCACAACAACATGTCATGTGTATCAGTGGCGGAACTAAAAAAAAAGCCCCCCCCCCCCCCCCGAAGAATTTTTTTGGGCCCCTATATATATATATATATATATATATATATATATATATATATATATATATATATATATATATATATATATATATATATATATATATATAAAACAAGGTTCGCTCTCAATTTTTAAAAAATTCCATCTGGTACACGAATAAATCAGAGGTTTTCCAACACACGAGCTGGCCCCTTTCTAAATCTAGTCCAACACACCAAACTGAGGCTTTCATCAAAACGTTACTAACCGTGTGCCCTGTTTTCCAGAAGTTGAATTAAATGTTAACAATGTCGGCAGTTCATTTCTTGGATCTTAGGGCGCGGGTTTGTCCACACTACCAACTAGACACGCCAAGGCATGCTGTAAATCCCTCGGCGACGGCCCAGGTGTCAGGGGAGTCACGGGGCTCTTGGAGCTACCGGTTACATTACTGCACGGGTGATGGGTGTGACACATTATTTCTTCCGGCAGAGCTCCCCCCTCCCCTCCCCCGAAAACAGTCTACCCTGGAAGAAACATTGGTGCGAGACCTAATTAGATTTAGTCATCGAGTGTAGTAGCGAGACTTATTCCTAGTGTTGTGGGAACTTTTAAACGACTGTCTGTGGGGGCCAACTTGCTCATATGTGATGCGCTCAGGATGACACTGACGCCAGTTGTATTCAAGTAGTAACCTCATCGGCTTATGCAGGATCACGGGGCGCTAAATCACATATTTCCGTTAGGAGTCCCCACTCAAATATGTACAAATGTTAGGCCTATGACAGAAACCTTTGCGGGGCTGTACTCAACAGCTTCCCAAGTTTTCATGGCGATTGGGTGAATGATGCACTAATGCATAATAATAATAGAGAGAAAAATGTTTTTCACATGTACAACTGTATGTGGCCAGGTCACGCGTTGGATAACCTTCTGATTTAGGGGAGGGGGGATTAACAAAAAGCCAGACCCTCACACACCCCCACCTCAATGACTATTAATAATGTTCAATTAATTCTAAACGTTCTAATTAAATTATAAATAATTATATAAAAAATAATCTTACCTGCCCTGTTTTGTGAATTAGATGTGCCTAATACTATGAAAGTAAATTAATATGTGTTGACTAGATCTAGTGCTGTCTAGTGTCTGACAAAATGTGCTGAAGTGGTGAATCGTACGGTTAGGAAGTAGTTCATAAACGATACATTTATCTCCTCGATACTTGTGAGGTTGAGAAAGAGGGATGGGATAGGGGTCGGCGCGGGAAAAAACTTGAAAGGGACAACAAAACGCCTTGATCTATGTACGCCAGCATCGCCCATTGTAAAACTTACTCATGGGAGATAATTTGAAGTATAGGCCTTAAAAGTTTACTATATTTCTTGTAAAATAAAAAACAAGTAAACGTATATAAAACTGAAGTTTCTAGTATTATATTATTTTTTTAAATTATTTGTACGATACAAGATAGTACAGGATACAAATTCAACCACTATCACAAACACATATTAACATTGAAAAATGTATAATGGATTTCGGGTCCCCTACCAATGCCGCAAATAATAACCGCGCATCATGAAAGTATTGAAAGCCCACTTCATATGTAGCGGCTTTTCGTGTTATGGACTTTGTTGTTTTTTTAAAAAGAATTTTGCCGGCGACAGCGTGTGTTTGATTGTAGGGAAATAGAACTCGGCCTTGACGATGGTTAAAAAATACAACTATAAATAACTGTTTTTAATATGTAAAGAATTTGTCGACAATTTTTAACCCGCTTTTTGGTCCCCATCCCCTGCCCCATCCGCCACAGTATACTTTGGAGGATCGGTCAAACAGTTACGTGTCCTCTATTTAGCTATCAAAGGGAGGGGGGGGGGGGGGCAACGAGTCAAAGAAGTAATTCAAAATTTGAAGAGTTGCCTATATTTTACACTGTAGTTTGTGTAATGATGTAATGGATTTTATCTTTTGCGGAAGAGCGTGGTATAGTGACTGTAAAATAAAGATAATCGTACCGCAGCTACAGTGTTTTTCTTTTACAAACCAAATATTAAGGCAAAAATTAAATTCAAAATTTAAAAAAAAAAAAAAATTTTGGTCAGCCGTGGGCCCCTAAACGGCCTTCCCCCCTCCCCCCCCCCCCCCCGCGCATTGCGGGGTCTGGCGGGACTGTAGTTCCGCCCCTGTTCATCAGGTAGAGATGCCTGGAAGAAACTCTGTTCGTTAATCTATGCATTACATCTTATTGTAAGAGTAAGGGTGTGGTGAGGGGTAGAAGTGAGGGGTAGGGGGGAGGGGGGGGGGAGAGAGTTGGGAAAGGAAGGGGACAAGAAAGCGCCGATAAACATCTACATCAATAGTGCCGACTTTTTCTGATCGTCTAGAAGACCAGGATAGTCGCCTCGCCGCAACATTTCCCCAGCCCGATTTCAAAGCGTACCGGCACAGTCAAATTTCAGATGCTTCGTCTTTGAAGTTGTCTATATGTCTGGCGGTCTCTCGAGCTATAGTCAGTGCATTTTTCTCAAAGACGTTTGCCGACTATCGTGTTTGTTTGTAACTGTAGAAGAAAGATAACTCGACCTCCACCTAATTTTTTTTATTTTTTTAAAATAATTTAGCCAGGATTTTTGGGCCCCCAATTGGTCTGGGCCCCCCCGCATTGCGGGGTCTGGCGGCACTGTAGTTCCGCCCCTGGATACAGTATGTGTTTTATGAGAAAGATTTAGTTTCAGATAAAAGTTTTAAATAAAGCAGAATGTACATCCCATCTATGAGACAAAACATCGATACACGTCATCTATTTAACAAGACACCCCTACACCATTAACCTACATCAAATGTAATAAAACACCCCTACACTATTAACTGACATAACCCACTGACCCAAATGTGCTGACCACTACACAGCTAGATGACCCCTGAATCTACACATCCGATCAAAAAAAAAACGTAACACGCATGCCACTATAGTTAACGACAGCAGTGGTCTTTTGAATGAAACGTTAAAGTACCTCAAGGTGGGGGGGGGGGGGGGAAGGGGGGGGGGTGGAGAAATAGGGGCATAGACATAGGAATCTGGAAAGGAAAGGGAGGGGGGGGTAAAAAACAACAAAATTCTTTCAGATCCAGGCTAGCTGTACAGAGATACCTCTAAATATGCAGTATAAATTTCTGCACCATGATGGGAGAAGTTAATAATTTCGCATTTTATGTTGATCATCTTACAATTAACCCTTGAACTATCCTCTCCGTGACTCTGCCAGGAAAAAACTCCATTATGTGGCCTTGGCAATGGTTCCCCTCTTTTGCCAACATAATACCCAAAAAGTGGAGAGCTCTAGGTGAACCAGTAGTTATTGTTCTTGAAACCCGGAGTTATCGGACCTTGCTTGTAGTTGTTTCCCTGCTTGCCTAGTTGTTGTTGTATGCATAAATCCTAATGTTGTATTGACCAATTTGGTCATATACTGAGTAGATTTTTACCATAACTTGGTGGTCTTGATGCATGGGGATAGATTGTAACTATTTGTTACGATTTATTGTTGCAGCTGTAACTATTTGTTACGATTTAATGTTGTAACTGTAGCTATTACGATTTAATGTTGTAACTGTAGCTATTACGATTTAATGTTGTAACTGTAACTATTTGTTACGATTTTATGTTGCAACTGTAACTATTTGTTACGATTTAATGTTGTAACTGTAACTATTTG